CATTGATTTTCCGTTTACTTTAAATTTGAGCTTTCTAATCTGACACAGAGGTAGGAGTCGCTACATCCCATGTTCTTGCTGGGTTCTAGATGCTGTTCTGCTTGTTGGTTCATTTAATCCTCTCAACATCAGAAACAAGTGGCTACTATTATTTGTTTTCAGATGTGGAAACTAAAGTAAAATTGAATAGCTTGCCCAAAGTTACAGGGCATTCAAGGAGCAGAGCAGGGGGTTGAATTCAGACTTCTGCTGCTACAGGTCATGACCTTGGCTGCTGGATTTTACTGCGTCCTATAAACATGCTTGCTGGTATTACAGATGAACATTTTTAAGAGTGAATGGACTCTGTAGAATACCTGAGTGGGAGGGTTTGCAATGTTGTTAAACTTTGGTGAATTGTCCTTACATGTACTTTGGTTTCTGCATAATATCAATCTGGTAAGACAATCAGAGACATGATTACCAAACTGATGCTAATAGTTTAAAATCATATTGTTTAATTGTACTTTTGGAAAGATTGCAAAACCTTTGCTGATCTTTTGCTGTCAGTTTTTATTACACTATGAATCAGGAAAAAGCAGTTATTGGAAAGTGTCTGACTGCTTTTACGGGCTTTCTTATTGATCTAGAGTAATGTATTATTGGGGAAAATTATCAATTAGTTTCTTTGAAAATGAAAGAGCTGTGTATTAATCCTTCCTCTCCTCCAATATGGTACGCAAATTAATAACTGATTCCATAGTTCTGTTTTCATGGCTTACAGAGTTCTTTGCAGACTCTGAAAAAAAAAAAAAAAAAAAAAAAAGGGGGAAAATATGCAAGAATTTCCATTTATTTCAGTAGCTATCTTTATAGGGTAAGCACTAAGTCACTTTTACTGGAAACTCAGAAGCTTTCAAGGTTCTTGAAATTTGTTATAAAGTGATATCTCAAATATGCACCTGTATTAGTTACTTTCCTGTTGCTATGATAAACACCATGACCAAGGCAACTTATAGAGGAAGAGTTTACTAGGCTTACAGTTTCAGAGGGAGAGTCCGTAATTGGCAGGGGAGGCCTGGAGGCAGAGGTGGCTGAAGAAGAAAGCTGAGAGCTCACATTTTCAAGTAGGTACAGAATGAAACTGGAAATCATACAAAGCTTAAGAACTCTCAAAACCCACCCCCAGTGATGTGCTTCCTCCAGCATGGCTGCACCTCCTAAAGGTTCCATGGCACCCTCTAAATAGCTCCATGAACTTGGGACCAAGTGTCCAAGTGCTTGGAGCCTATGGGGAATACTCATTCAAACCAATGCATCACCTTAATTTAAAATTAAATTCCCTTTAGAAGAGTGAATTATTTCTGAGCTGTGGGATCACTGGAGACATACTGCACAGCTTGGCTACTGGTCACCAGAGACAAGACACCCATGCTTTGATTTCTCAAGAAGGGACAGTGTGGTTCGTAGTTACTGTGCCTCCTTTTCTTTACTCTTTTACACCCATTTTTCTTGGTCATGATTTTTCCTTCTGCCTTTGTTTCTGTCTCTTTTTCCTTCAGAAATCCATTATAAGCTGTAGATTCTTATTAGATTTTTTTTTACCCAAAACTAAACACAATGACCTTGTTGATTATTTTAAAATCTTATTTATTATTTTTATGTAATGTGTATGCGTGTACTGCCTGCATGTAGGTAAGTGCACCTGTGTCGTGAAATGCCCACAGAGGTCAGAAGAGGCTGTCAGATCCTCTGGGACTGGCGTTATGGACAGTTGTTAGCTGCCATATGGGTGCTGGGATTGGAACCCAGGCCTTCTGCAAGAACAACCAGTGTTCTTAATCTCTGAGCCATCTCTCCAGCCCCGACCTTGTTGATTTTTAAAAATGTATTTATTATTTTTATTTTATGTGTATAAGTGTACTGCATGCATGTAGATAGCTGCACCTATGTCATGCAAAGTCCTTGGAGGTCAGAAGAAAGCATCGTGTCCCCCTGGAACTGGAGTTATGGGTCGTTCTTAGCCACATGTGGGTGCTGGGAATTGAACCTGGTCCTCTGCAAGAGCAGTTAGTGCCCTTAACTGATAAGCCATCTCTCCAGCCCCATGACCTTGTAAATTTTCTTCTGAAGTGTCTGTGACCTGCGTATTTCGGATCCTTACCTGTAGGATTAGATCCTATATTACACAGTAACTCCCCATATATGTTTTCCTGTGGGTGGTGGACAGATGGGGTGGGAAACGTAGACGTATTACTACATATCAACATGTTCTGGTAGCAGATTGGGAAAATGCTTTTAATCTTTGGGCCTAAGTCTGACCAAGTGAGGCATTAATACAACTCAGCAATGAACACACATAAAAATACTGCTTATAGCCAGGCATGGTGGTGTACACCTTTAATCCCAGCACTAGGGAGGCAGAGGCAGGCGGATCACTGTGAGTTCAAGGCCAGCTTGGTCTGCATAGTGAGTTCCAGGACACCTGGGGCTACAGGGAGACCCTGTCTCAAAAAGACAAAAGAGAGAGAAAGAGAAAGAGAATAGAGTAGGGGTGTGGAAGTGCATATCAGCAATACCAGCACCCAGGAGGATCAAGAGTCAAGGGCCTGCCTGGGCTCCATAGTGAGTTTCAGAATGTCGGCACTTGCCTATAATTATTTCCAGCACTCATAAAGCTGAGGCAGGAGGATTGCCACACAATCAAGGTCAGCCTGAACTACATATTGGGGCTTTCAAAAAAAAAGGAAGGAAGGTTGGAAAGGAGTTACAGGTGCACTTACCTACATGCAGGCAATACACACATACACATAAAATAAAAATAATAAATAATTGGAAAAATACTGCTTATCAAACAGTATTTTGGAAAAAAATTGGGTCAGTATAGATTATGGGTTAAGGCTGTGACCTTAAGCCAAATCCAGTCTAGTGCATTTCTGTGCATGAAAGTGCATTAAAACATACCAGTGGCCTCCATTCGTTATCTACTGTCAATATCTGGTTTCATATTAGAGTGGCAGAAATGAGAGGTTGCAGTCAATGTAAGCCATATTGGTTGCATAGCCTAAATATTCACTCTTTAGACTTTACACAACATACACCCTTATTTAGATCCTGTGAATTAAGATCCACATGGGATGCTGTGAACAATTTGGCAATAGCAAAAGGTGCAATGACCAACAATTAATTCAAATCAAACGTGTAACCAGTCTGAAGTGTTTCTGGTAGTGCTTGTCCATGTTACATCACGGGACTTCACTGCAGCTCTTTGAATTTGCGTTGTGCACGTGTCTGTCTACACCATGTAATGCCTACGACGCTGACTGGAACAGCTCAAACCCGAGACTGCTGTGTGCTATGGATTGCAGTGTTTTATGGTACATGCAATATGTAATGCTTTTATAGAAACAGTAGAAACAGGAAATTATAATTATAGAAAACAAAGGCTTGTTATTGTCCTACCATCACTCCTTAACATGTAAGAATCACATTAGTATATCATTGGATTGGATTGTGTTATCATTGGGCACTCTAAAAATTGTTTTAGTTAGTAATTTGAGTTTTATTAAAAAACATTAAATGAATTTTGGTTTGGGATTAGGATAGAATTTCCAATGATTTCTGAAATGGACTTAAACATACTCCTGTCACTGTGTATTTATGCGAAGTAGTGTTCCTAGCATTGAAGATTATAAAATCAAAGTATTGATCAACTCTGAAATAAATGATGCAGTGTCAAATATTCAGCCAAGATTTAATTATTTGTGAAAACATCAACAAGCACATACATATTATTGTGCAAATTTTCTTAAGCCTTTAATAAATGATAAAATGTATTATACCAGAAAAATTTAAAGATTTATTTACTTATTTTTCTTTATGTGTATATGTCTATATATGTGTGTCATCTGTATGTGTGTGTATGTGTGCCATTTGTGTGTGTCTGTGTATAAGTGTCATTTTTGTGTAACATCTGTATGTGTGTGCATATGTATTTGTGTGTGTCATCTGTGTATGTGTCTCTGTGTATATGTGTGTATGTGTCATCTCTGTGTGTCATCTGTATCTAAATTTTTCTCTGTGTGTCATCTGTGTGTCTCTGTGTGTGTATGTGTCTATTTGTGTGTGTGAGTGCCATATTTGTGTGTGTGCCATCTATGTGTATGTGTGGTGTGTCTGTGTGTGTAACATGTGTGTCTTTGTGTGTATATGTCTCTGTTTATATGTCATCTATGTGTGTGATATGTCTCTGTTTATATGTCATCTATGTGTGTGTGCGTGTGTGTGTGTGTGTGTGTGTGTGTGTGCCTACGTGTTTGTGCCATCTGTGTGTGTATCATCTCTTTATGTGTCTCTCTGGGTGTGAAAGCCCATGAGTATGTGAGGTGCATGAGCCTCTCTTCATGCACAAAGTCCAGAAGAAAACATCTGGTGTCCTCCCTATCACCCTGAACCTAGTCATTTAAGATAGGATCTCTCACTGAACCCAGGACCATCTTAGAAGCCACCAATCCCAGAAATCCTCCTGTCTGCACCCCCTCAAACTTGGGTTTATAGGCATAGAAGACACATAGCTTGTTTTGTGAATGCTGGGATCTGAACTCTGGTCCTTATGATTGTGCAGTTCTTAACCTCTGAGCCCTCTCTCCAGGTCCAAAGAATTGTTTTAAAAATTTGATTTATATACCTATTTTAGATACCTATACATCTTAGGTTATAAAAATTATTCAGGTGAAAAGCAGTTACAATTACAAAATGAAGTCCTGATCTAGGTGGTGGGTTTTATACAAGTCAGTCTCAAGTTCTGTGTGTATGTAAAACAAAAGAAGTATGCTGGTCAGAATCAGCTAAGCAGGCTTTAGAAAGTTCACACCGCCCTGTCCTCTCCATCTTTTAATAAGTTTTTTTGGTTGCACATCACTAAATTAAACTTTATGAATTTAACTCACTCAGTTTTTTAAATCACTGTTTGACACTCTAATATAACCAAAGTGAAACTGATTATCTTATTTCTTTCACAGGGTTGTGGGAAGAAAATGTATTCCTTTTTGAGAGGTACCAAACAACTGCAAGTACTGAGGTTTCTGGGGATCTCTATTGGAGTGACACAAATCCTGGCCATGATTCTCACCATTACTTTGCTCTGGGCCCTGTATTATGATAGAAGAGAGCCTGGGGCAGACCAAATGATGTCTCTGAAGAATGAAACTTCTCAGCACTTGTCATGTCATTCTGTGGAACTATTGAAACCAAGTCTTTCAAGGATCTTTGAACACACATCAATGGCAAACAGCTTTAATACACACTTTGAGATGGAAGAATTATAAAGAATGTCATAGAAAAAGGAAACCACAAACCTGTTTTATTGGACTAGTGAAATTTTAAGTATACAGTTAATGTTTCAGAAGTTTGTAGATATAAAAATATTGTATTAAAGGATGCCCATGCATCTAATTTTCTACTCGTTAAAAATGAAAAGGGAAAAGTTTCCTATGTCAACACTGAGACAGTACTGGTGCCCTTCATAATAGTGAGGCAGAACTAATAACCACTTTATAGCCTGTGTAAGATTGCTTTGTGAGCACAATTATGTTTTGAGGTGACATGGTTTAATCATCTTTTCTGTATCCATCTGTTGAAATTAGCAATGCATTGTGGGACTGGAGCTACAGTGAAGGCTGACTGATTTCCACTGGCTAGTATATAGACTATCAATCGACTGGTCATGTAGGAATTTAGACAGTACTAATGACTTTTATTATCTGGTGATACATTGCTTTTAGGTGACTAGATTATGCATAAAAAAAACTTTCAAGATTGGGGACTACCTAAACATGATTTTTGATGGTTACTAAAATTAACACTTGCAATAGTAAACTAACATTGCCTTAAACTGATCACTGATATATATATATATATATATATATATATATATATGCTGTGTCTGTATAATTCAGATTTCAGTTCTTATAAAGAACAATTGCAAAAAGAATAAATTTGTGTTATGTAACACTTTTTTTTGTCTTTCCCAATGATAGAGATTTAAAATTCTGTCTTGGATCTGTATTACAACCATAACTGTTAATTTAAGTACTTAACCATTAATTTTTGAAATTACCACTGTAATGTACAAAAGTCATTGTGATTCTGGCTGTTGTCTGGGCTGCAAGAGATGTTAACTAGAAAATTTACACATAGTTGATTCAGCAAAAATTTGGATGCTTTTTTTTCTCTCCCAAGTGAGGCCTCTTCTTGACAATAAACACTTTTTGCAGGCACTTATATTTTCCTTTTTCAAACAAGAAGCAACTGTCTTTAGTCAATATAATTTTACAGAGAAAAGTGTTCTTTGTCTCTGGAAAGATGCTCGTAAGAATTACTAAAATAAGTGACAGCTTAACCAGAAGATATCTTTGATTTATTTCACTGATTAATATACTATGGCAAATTACACAGATTATTAAGTTTTTACAAAAGTAAAAGATATTTATTTGAATGGGAAAAGTGCATTTTACTGTATTTTGTGTATTATGTTTATTTCTCAGATTATGGAAAAATTAAAACGTCAATAAATATTTTCTAGAGAGTGGTTTATGTCTTTTTTTGTTTTTGAAACACTATGTAGCCCTGGAATAGGTGCCAATTTTATATATTATAAACACTTCTACCAGCAAAAATACTAGCATGGGGATATGAGAAACTGATGAGGAATGGGTGCAGGGGCAGGAGGGCTGGGCTTGGGGCTGATGTGGCTTGCAGTCTCAGGATTTCTTATGGTCAGCCGTCACATCACAAGATTGTCTTCGAAGGTACCAACGAGTCCAGCACTGGGTTTGGGCCAATGCACACCATCGAGGCCATCCTCAAGTGGCTGTCAGACCTATACAAGGATGACAGCTCCTCGACAATGGGAAAACTGGACCAGTGTGGTTTCACCACCAGACAGCATGGCCACTGGCCCCAGCCACAGTGGGCTTTGCTTTCTGGGAAGATGATGACTTCAGAGTCTGCACACTGAGCCCTTCTCCAGCCCTCCTTAGCTTCCAGGTGTGCTGAAGTGTGGTACTACAGAGAGCTCAATGAATAAGACCTGCGGAAAGAGCCCCAGGGACACCCCCAGAGGCCTACTCCACCCAACAAAAGAGAGTTTGGTGAGTGCCTGGTTGCTCTGTGCCCTCTTCCACCCCGGACATCACCCTCCCTAGGATGGGTCTTGCTCCTTCACTACTTTCCAGGCATTCCTTTCTGAGGATATTGGTCTTCTGTGCTGTCCAGCATAGAACTTGACCAAACCACTCCACTAAGGAGCCATTGCTTGGTTGTCCTGAGGGGCCAAGCTATTCTCATCCACTAGCAGACACAGAGAGAAAAGGGGCTGAAAACTCAGAGTTCTGAACCAGCCTGGGGGAGGAAGAACAAGACACCCTACACACAAGCCCACACCCAAGGGCCATTGGCTCTGCTTCAAGTCTTTCCAGCACAGGACCAGAGTCCTGTACAGACCAGGCTTGGAGAGCCCCCATAAATCCCATCTTGTGATGAGGGCCAAAGGTAGATCTTCTGCCATTTTAGAGTCTCATCACATGTTAAATAAAATCTATGACCCTTTCCCCTCTAGACGATTGACTAAGATATTAGTACTTTGCAAGATCTGGAACTAATCCGTGTATCTTCACTGAGAAGATCATTTTTCAAACATGTGTTTTGTCTGATAATGTAGCTTGATATAATATATGAATATGCTCATTTATGTTAATTTATCTTCTTAGTACTTTCACATCCAGAATTTTATATTTAGCTTTAATTGGAAAAGAAATGCTGGCTAGGGGATTGACACATGCCTGCAAATCTCAGCTCTTTGGAGTGCTGAGGCAGGAGGATCACTTGAGTTCAAGAGCTGAAGGCCAGTCTGATAGAACAAGGACAGAACAAGGGAAAGGCAGAGGGAGCACGTGAGTGGGTGTAGGATGAAACGTCAACACATTACTAATAGAGTCTATCACATCCTATCCCATAGTTTCACCCATAATACCCAAATGACTGACAACAGTGATGAGCTTTATTCGAATTGCTTAGATACCTATCAAATCTGGTTGCATCTCTTTTGCTGTGTCTCACAGAACAAGCTTATATTGTGTTGAGCTTAGGGGGAAAATTAGTCCTCAAATGATAGGAATTGGCTTTTCAGAATAGGCATTTTGATATATTACCTGATTCACTGCTCTCTAGAATAGTTGCCATAAATTCAGACAATCATCTTCTATATAATACATTTGCTTAATGGGAGAAAATGACATTTATAGCCATGGCCCACAAAGGCGTCTTATGGTAGCAGTGCACCTGGAATAATAAAACTGTAAGAAACTTTACAAAGTGCATTTAACGCCTAGTGCTCAGGGAGTTTTCTATTTGGGTAGAGTGCAAAAAAAAATGTTAATGGTATCTTTGGGAACTTTTAAATGCTTTCTTTGGTAAAAATCACAAGTTTTGAAGTAAAAAAATTTAAAGATTATTTTTAGACTGGTTAGTAGGCAACTCAAAGTGCCCTTGAGACTCAGAGTTGGCAAGTATAGATGGCGTCTGTTCTGAAGATGTAAAATCTTGGTTAGAGATGCTTGTGACAATCCCCAGAAAATAAATAATAGGAAGTACACTACAAGTGAGGCCATGAATAGGAAGAAGAGGCCAAGGAAAGTAAAGGTGGTTATACCAAGGAGGTGACCCTCAAACAGAGTCAGAAAGAAGAAATGGAGCTTATCTAGCTCTTGGTACCATTCCATAAGCCGAGGCTCCAATGTTAAAATGAGTGCATTATTTATAGTACATGACCTGGGCAGTGTGGTTGGATAGAACAATGCTGGAATGAACACCATGGGAAAGGATGTGGATAAAACTAGGAATTGGGACTTCATTCTGTAGGCTCAGTGGTGAGCTCCTAGAGTGTTTCAGAGAAAGAAGAGAGGCATGTTCAGAATGTTCTCTGTTATGCAAGCAAGACAGACCAGGCACAGGGGAACTGGTGCAGCCTTTGTTCCGTACTCTGGGGACAGAACATGCATTTCTAAAGTCGAAGGAATGGAGCCCTCTGAAGCTTCAACTCTGCAGATCCTTGACAAAGACTGGATAGACTCCTGTCTGGGCTCTTGGAGAGATGAACATTTCATCATTGCTCATGAAAGTCAAGAAACAGAGTACATAAAATAGATTACTACAAGGGAAAGCCACAAAAGTTTGCAGTAAGTTGACACTGGGAAGTATAGGACAGACAGTAAAAGAATTGAAACTTCTAAAAAATTGAAACTTCTGTATTTTATGCCTGGTAAGTTGGCATTGGCATTAACCTAGATAGAAGACCAGAGGAGAATGAGACTGTGGGAGGGAAAACAATTGGGTTTGGAATGTACTGAGTAGGAAATGCCTGCAGGACATGCAGATGGAGATATCTAGTGGCAGCTGTAAATTCCAGTCTGACACTCAGGAGACTTCACTGTGGAGCTTGAGAATGTTCATGCATTGCTTTCTCAACTCAGGAAGCCTGACAGAAAATGGGCTGAGGCCAACCTCATGAAGAGAATCTTAAGCAGGATGCTACAAGAGCTCCTTTTGGTTTGATACCTATTTCTACAGATGAGTCAAAGGAAGTAAAGAAATGAGAATCGAATATGCTACTGAACCTTCTGTGGCAAGGCTCACCTCCTTTTTAAGAAATACTGCCAAGGGCCATGCTGCTCAGTCACCCACCTTCCTACCATTGTGTCACATTAAAAGGAATTTGCCTTTCCTGTCAGCCCAGTTCTTATCCAAGCACAACCCAGAAAATACATAGGAGAATCTTTGACATCATCTTGAAAACTCATTCATTTTCTATTTTAATAGGGTGATTGCAGTATTTGTGCATTCACAGAGCCTCCGACATGGCAGGCATACCATGCAAGTTGCCAGGAACATATTTTCTCTGCTCTCTACAGTATTTTTTCACTTCATATGCATCATCAGTCCCATTTTACAAATGAAGAATGGTAACTCAGAATATTATTTTGGTACTTATCAGTGCTCTGCTTCCCTATTCTCCACTCTATGACATGCCATCTTTGTCAGCCTGTGGTGAGGCTCAGCTCATTCCTCACATAAGGAAACAAGGACTCAGTATCACCAGGAACAGTTGCCTACCAAAGTCTACTACTTCCTTCAAAGTAACACTTTTGTCTGTCTAATTTCATGCCTCCTACTGTTTCCCCAGAATAAGTTCAAATTATGTAGGTTTTGTTTGATTTGATGTATTGCTCCCTCTTAATCTATGGTCTCTTACTGATCTATCTTGTGCACAAGAACATAGCCAAATTTCTTTAATCAACTTTATTGAGGTGTGTATGCCATACCCATTTTAGTACATAGCTAGTACACACACACACACACACACACACATTTATACATACCATAGCCACACTCAAGATGTAGAATATTATTATCATCTCAATAATGCATTCTTGCCCCTCTCTTATAAGTTCTGAAATCCTCATTCTTAGCCTTATTGAGCATTATTTTCCTAAATAATATTAAACCAAGGAGTCCTTGTTTTACATAAGGCAGAACTTTCTGGCTCACAAACATATATGTATGTCATTTAAATTCACTTTGGCATATATGAGGGTCAGAGGCCATTGGACATCCTAAGCCTTGCTTGTTTACCATGAAGATTATAAGGAAACAATGGCCTAACACATAGGCTGACCTCTTACATTTAGACACCTCACAATACTAATGGGTTGAACAAAACAGAAGTGCAGGAAACACACGTGTGAATAGTATAATGCATATCAGCTGGAAGATGTTAGTGCTCACCTTCACCTTTTTTGCAAGCAGTTACTGGCTCACATAGTCACATTCTGGGAAGTGGACATCACTTCCACTCACATAGCCCATATATAGGGGAGGACTGCAAACAGCCTTTGTTCTGAACACCCATGCGTTGCAGCTAAACCAGGAAGCTCTATGATCATGGTTTAGCACCTACAGAATAAATTTTTCCATTTGAACCTATTTTTCCAAAAAAATTCCCTAATCCTATGAGGTTGAGACAGTTTGGTCAGTTCAATACTATAATATGCAGTATATCCATCTGTTGTTGCCTTGATTTTGTTCACATCATGGACTACCCTGCTACAATCTTATCTTTAGAGTCTGGTTGTTCTCAACTTGTAAGTCACAACTCAGAAGCTACTTCTTGTATGCAGTGCCTTTCCCTGGCCACTGTAGCCTTCTCCTCTTAGTTCACCATCTATGTGTTGCTGCTCTATCTAGCTGGTCTCTGTATTTTCTATTTTATAATATGCTTTCATTTATATTTTTTTCTTTATTTGTCTGAATTCTTTTGACAGTAAATATTTTGTTCTATTATTTTTCCCTCTCAGAACTTGCATAGGTCTAGGTGACATTTCTTTATATTTCATTTGCATATTTACTTATCATATGTTTAAATTAATATATATACATATATATAAATATATAAAATGAACACATTAAATAAATCTAAAAGCCAATTCAATAAGGACAAACCATAGAAAAGGAGGGCATCTATTTTTCTTCACT